GGGGACCAGTCTCTATTCTGCTCTGTGTCCGTGTGCATCAGGGGCTCTGAGGACAGGTGTCAATCCATATGTCAAGGTGTCAACATGTCATATGTCAGGTGTCAATCCATATTGATTGTGATTTAGGAATGTTAGGTGATTTCTGCCCTTTATGGATTAAAACCAGACTCTGTATCAACTGTGTAATTTTCCATGGGAGTTTTGCCATGGATCCCCCTCCGGCATGCCACAGTCCAGGTGTTAGTCCCCTTGAAACAACTTTTCCATCCCTATTGTGGCCAGAAAGAGTCCCTGTGTGTTTTAAAATTCGCCTCCCCATTGAAGTCAATGGCGTTTCGGGCGGTTCGCCGGTTCGCGAACATTTGCGGAAGTTCGCGTTCGCCGTTCGCGAACCGAAAATTTCGGGTTCGCGACATCACTACTTACAAGTCTGAATATTCTTGTTTTCTACCTGAAATTATTAGGAAGTACAGCTACTTGGTGGCATCATATCTTGAGACCAACTACTCTAGTGTGTCCACTATCTGTTTCTGCTCCATTCACTCTTTAAAGGAGAACTAGTCTTCACTTTTGTAAACACTTTAAAGCACTTACTAGGGTGCAAAAAGATTTTTACATTAGCAGCATTTCCTTGTCCAAGGTGGCGTCATCATTACGTGATGTACTGCAAAAATGTCAAACTCGCGGTCCCCGGGCTGCATGCAGCCCACAATGGACTTCTTTGCGGCCCGGCGAGCCATGAGTTTGAGACATGCTTAGTGTTAAAGCAAAGGTAGGCACCTGCTTTCTCAACATTTCAGGTGCCTACTCTGCTAAAATTTACTGTGTGTGTGTCAGTGAGTATGTCTGTCTGTCAGTGAGTGTGTGTGTGTGTGTGTGTGTGTGTCTGTCAGCGAGTGTCTGTATAATGTCATATTCTGGCACCCGGCATCACTAAACTGCATGCGAGGGAGCAGTGAGGGGCAGGAAGGAGATCTCCAGCTAAAAGATCCCCACTGGACCCCAGGGAATGATGTGTGTGCAAGAATGTGTAAATGTGTGTGTGTGACGGACCGCCTGGCACCCCGACCGGGTACCTCCATCAATCGCTGCTCTCTAGTACTTGCGAGCACCATAAGCACTGTACTGGAACACCATAACCACCGTAAACCCCACAAACTGCTACAGCTTAGTTGGGGTCTCGCTGTTCTCCACCCACCCTGGACCAAGACCAGAATCCAGCTTCCAGTGGGTAGACCTCTCCTGGTCCAGAGAGCATAGCAGGAGCAGCTCTTATAAGAGCTAGGGAGTACACTCAGGGGAGTATTGTGATATAGAAATCCCCAGAGTGAATGTAGTTCTCCAATCCCCCAAACATGAGCCAAGACTTCATGAAGAGGTAAATGAGTCTCTGTTTAATGGGAGCCACACTTGGCCTTTTATGACAATCCCCATGCAAGGGGTACGCCCACAGGGACCTTGTGGGAAACTGATTTGAAACTTCACAGACCAATAACAATAAGGTTACAAGGCACAACACTCCCACGCACAGCACCCAATCCCTCCCCTCTGCCTGGGAGATAATTGGATCAGTAACTGTACTAATTCTAATCCAATTATCTCCAAGCACAGAAAAAACATACTTTTTTAAAACACCCCCAAAGTACCCTAAAGAACATAAAACCCCACAAACCCCACTACATGTTATATCCCCTGATAGCCCTGATCTGGGTGACCAACATATTCAAAAATCACCCAGATCAGTTCAGTGGTTCAAGAATTCTATGGAAGTCATTTATTTAACTGACAGCAGGCAGGGTCCCATGCCCAAAACAGTTCCAGAGAATCAGGGATTGCGGTCGGTCTAGTTCGGTAATTTGAAAATGAACAAACTACCGAACAGAGTCAATAGTCTTACCCTGGATCTTGTTCCCTTCATCCAGATGAATGATCCCACTGAACAGTGCTCTTCTAACTTGTATAGAACCGAACGCAGGTGATGATGGAAGTCCAGCGGTGTTTGGGAGTTTCAGTATCCGATTTTAGTTCCAGGAGATTCATGCCCACACACCGCTGCCTGCGTTCTTGCAAACAAGATGTCCGCCACTTCGTGGTTGTCCATAGGAATTGCGGCCACCCAGATTAACAATTATATCAAATAAGTCTCTTTGCTACTAAATATACACACTATATCCACATATGTGAGTGGTTTAGGTTCTGTAAATATATATAGTTTTATGCTTCTTATGTGTTTGCATGTTCCACATCTAGTTAGCTAAACATGTGGTTATACTCCCTGATGTTATAAGGCAGGGGTAGGCAACCTTTTAGAAGCACTGTGCCGAAATAGGATTGTTAAGTCCTATTTTTTAAATTGAGGGATGTATGTTGCCGTATTATCTTAGCAACCAGGGTGGTAGCACATCCAATAAAATAATTATTAAAGGCATTTGCTACATCTAGGGGGTGTTGCAGTGTTTGGTTGTCTATATTGACATTGAAGGGTTGGGAGTGGATTGTGGGGGTTTGTATGCTATTTATGATTTTCCAAAAGTTTCTTCGGTTTGACAGGTTATTGTTTAACTTTTCACTGAAGTATTGGGCCTTTGCCATTTTTGTTTGTTTTGTGCATGCATTTTGCCATTGTCTATAGGTACAGTGATCGTTCATGGAGCCAGTATGCTTGAACTTTGACCACAACTGAATCCCTAAACTGGTACATTTGAATGATTTCAGCTGGAACCCAGGGCAGGTGTGTCCCTTTTATTCGCATTTATGCAGAGGGGCATGCAAATTCCAAACAAGCAAGAGCACTGACTGAAAAAAATGCAATTGCAGAGTCTAGATCTGGTATTTGACTTAATCTGTGCCATGGTATGTTCTTGAAATAATTTATTTAGGATTCAAGATTACATTGTTTAAAAGACCTGGTGATTATAATCTTGGGAGGGGATTTAGTGGCCTATTTTGCATATGCCGTACACTAGACAGTGGTAAACAAAACAGTTTGGGACATAATTTTTGTTTGGCCATATAGTGAACGGAATACTTTATAATTTTGTGAGGTGGGGGTAGGATGGCTATTTTTTACAACTCTCCACCAGCACTTAGCAGATAAGTTACAGCAACAGAGCAGGTCATGGTGTATGATAATGTGTTTTCCAGTTTGAGGTGTGAGCTCATTCTATTATTGTAAAGTGCTGTGGAATATATTGGTGCCATATAAATTCTGCTAAGAATACTGAGCACGATTATGCAAACCTGGGAGTTTTCAGAGATATGAGTAAGCCTGAAGGAGTGTTACATTAATTCTGTAGGTTAAACTAATATGTATGGTATAGAATGACTGTGCCAAGACAGAAACACATACAAAGTAAATAAAACATCTCAGAAGTGACAGTTCTGGATCAGAAAGTTGTCGGTTATTATAGAGGTTCTTTCTAGATCTGGACATTTTGATTTAAGAAACCAGTTCATCTTCTTATTAAAAATATATAAGATCATGGTCATGCAATAGAAGGCAATTGTTTTACCAAAAAAAATTAAAATACATTTAAAAAACAGAACATGCAAAACATTTTTTCCAACATTACTGGTGGTCTCTTTTCCTAAAATATATGGCCAGGACTGTTTGTTAAAACATGGATTCATGTGACAGAAAGAAATATATATAGATACTTCTCCATAAGAAACCCTTAGTTTTTTTTCCAGTCTCTCGAACTAGAGGGAATCATGAATCAAGGGTCATCTAGACCCGCATACAGTCATATATAGTACGTTTCAAAAATTGTTCCTTTTATCCTCCAAGAGGGGCAAGATTCAGTGACCTGAAAGTGCACATCTAGCTCAAACCAACCATGTGGGATTACATATCTATAGTTCTTAATCTTTTGTGCTGACCTGTTATATTATATATATTTTTATATAAGTGGTTTCATTCACACCTGTGCAGGTTATAGTGTAGGTTATATGTCATATGAAACATGTATTGCTGATATAGTTAACTGATATTTTCCCATAATTTGTCTACACAAGATATTTAGTTCTCTTAATTTATCACCCCCGACGCCTGCATGGTTAAGGGTATTTTCTCAACCCAGGGTAAGCCAAACTTAGATAATAGTTTTTTCATGAGACTTGATAATAAGTCCCTTAGTTTATTGCTTATTCTTTTTTACACCTTTCTCCATGAACATTACTTCATGATTTTATGTAAAAAATGTTCTTAAACGAACATGAGTACCATCATCTAACTCTGCAACTTGTGCTAATACTAGATTACTATATAAGATATTGGTGCACTACTTATGTTTTTTCTCCACTTACTTATAGTTCAAAAATGAAGTATAACTAATCAATAGGCTCATTTGTCACTCGCAATTATTCATTTCTATTTCTTCATTGTTTCATTTGTTAACCCTGCACATACCTCAATAAAAAAGAGATGGACAAAAAAAGAAACATCGATACATGTGGATTGATTTGTTGCTAAATTTGAGATACAAAGTTTTGTACATGAAATAACTATTGAGGTCGATTAGAAAATGGGCTACTATTAGAAAAAAAATGGGTCAAAAGTCGTAGACTGGAAGATATTAATCTCTCTAGATGCCTTTGTTCGTTTGCTCAGTTGTTCCTTATTATAATAATAATATTTATTTATATATATATATATATATATATATATATATATATATATAATATTTATGTAAGAATTTAGCTTGTTTTACCATTTTTTTATTTTTATTTTTTTATAATTACAGTGGCAGACTAAAAGTCTTGACAATATTTCTAAAAATGAAAAAAAGATCTAAATGAAATTGCATTTTGTGCAAATATTAATAAAAAGCTGTCATTCACTTATTGTCTTTATTTTTATTTTCATTTTTTTTGTAGTTTTTTTTTATGAAGCAGTTGCCACCAAGAAAATGAACAAACCTCTATGTATCTTATGCATTGCAGCTGCTCTCTTTATAGTGAGTATCTCATACTTTTACCATGCCAATATAACATTTGAAGAAATGACTGAATATACAATTGGAATTGTCACACAAGCTCAACTTGAACAAACCATGGTAACAGTAGCCACCAAACCACCTCACTCAGGTATGATGACAGTTAATCCCGATGGACGCCTAGGAAATGTAATTGGGGAGTATGCTATACTCTATGCACTTGCTCGACTTAATGGCCACCAAGCCTATATCTTACCAGTTATGCATGAGCAGTTATCCAAAATCTTTAAAATCCGGCTCCCTGTGGTTCACAAAGACGTTGCTAATCGTATTAATTGGACAGATTACAAAATTCACTATTGGATGTTACCAGAATATAAGAACATCCAAGGAGAGTATGTGAAATTAACTGGCCATCCTTGTTCCTGGACCTACTATCAATTTTTAAAGGATGAGATTCTCAAAGAATTCAGTTTTCATGAATGGATTAAGGAGGAGAGCTATGCTTATCTCACTAAAGTACGAGGGAATAAGAAAAATGTTACCTTTGTTGGGGTGCACGTTCGCAGAGGAGACTATGTATATATTATGCCAGCCTGGAAAGGAGTTGTCGCTGATAAGGACTATTTACAGAAAGCCATGGACTATTTCAGAAGCAAGTATCAAAACCCAATTTTTGTGGTAACCAGCAACGGTATGGATTGGTGCAAGGAGAATATAGACAATTCCTTAGGGGATGTCCACTTTGCTGGAGATGGCATAGAAGGTTCTCCTGCCCGTGACTTTGCCCTCCTGGCACACTGTAACCACACTATTATGACTATAGGAACATTTGGGTATTGGATTGGGTATCTGGCAGGAGGTGAGACTGTCTACCTGGCAAATTACAGCTTATCTCACGTCAATGTAAACAAACGTATGAAAAATGATCCTTTTGTTCTACCTGGATGGATTGGGATTCCAGCGAATATCTCTCATCTTTTGTAGAAATGAACAACCCATAAAGGATTGCCACAGAGGAAAAAATATTTCAGAACCCAGACAGACACTCTTAAAGGACCACTATAGTGCCAGGAAAACATACTCATTTTCCTGGCACTATAGTGCCCTGAGGGTGCCCCCACCCTCAGGGTCCCCCTCCCGCCCGGCTCTGGAAGGGGAAAAGGGGTAAAACTTACCTTTTTCCAGCGCTGGGCGGGAGCTCTCCTCCTCCGATCCTCCTCCTCCTCCCGGGCTGAATGCGCACGCAGCGCAAGCCGCCGCATTCAGCGGTCACATAGGAAAGCATTCATAATGCTTTCCTATGGACGCTGGCGTGCTCTCACTGTGAAAATCACAGTGAGAAGCACGCAAGCGCCTCTAGCGGCTGTCAATGAGACAGCCGCTAGAGGAAATAGGGGAAGGCTTAACCCATTCATAAACATAGCAGTTTCTCTGAAACTGCTATGTTTATGAAAAAATGGGTTAAGCCTAGCTGGACCAGGTACCCAGACCACTTCATTAAGCTGAAGTGGTCTGGGTGCCTATTGTGGTCCTTTAAGACCTGTTTCTTTTACATGTGAACTAGGATAAGCACATCCATAAATATCTAAATAATAATAATATATAAGGCTGTGTGTCACAAGTCTTGGTCTTTGTTGAGTCCTTCTATATCAGATTAACTTTTAAATTGTATTGTAATGTAAGAATTGTAGATTTTGGTTTATTATCTACTTTGATTTCAACCTGATTGTATGCATTTACCAAATCTTAGAATATATGATGGAGTGTGTCACTTGCGAGTGTGACAAATAAACTTAAAGCAGTTAACCCAGGTGTGAAGAAAATCGGTTGTCACTTTTTTTTGTAATTTGTGTAATTATCTAAGTCCAGCTCTCCCTCCTGTAGTGAACACTTTATTCCCCCATGCTCTGGTGAAACAGCCACCACACACTCACAACACTCGGGACTACTCAGCCTCCCTCACCCACACACATCCCAATCCACAGAACAGATCTCAGGGCTCTAAGAAAAGGCCCAAATCTGTCATCATCCCTAGGGCCCTGGGCAGTCTTAATTCAACAACAGATTTGGACAACAGGACATGAGATCTCTTCCTGTTAATCCTGTATTTAAGACATGGACCATATGTACAGGCTGCATCAGCTACTCTTCAGCTTGCACCTGCACTGTTGATGCTATCTACACCCATTTGGGCATGCACTGTGGCCTACAGGAGGGATGCAGCTCTCTGTCTCAGGTAAACTCAGTGGTGCAGGGCTTAGTTCATTGGCTGAGAGTTATAAGCTGGTGCTCTCATTCAATGAGCTAATCCTGCCTTGGAGTTTCTGGGTATCCTGACCGCTGTGTGGATGTGGGTAGTGGTATCCATGGACACCAGCTAAGAAGTCAATCCATTCTAAAATAGTTGGAATACTTATCATTGGAGGTGTGGGGAAGGGGTGTTCTAGGGTACTCTGGACACCATAAATAATACAGTGGACAATAGTGACTTGTTAAAATAAGATTTGTCATGATAGTGTAAGATAGCATAAGATCTGTCTTGTACATAAATTAAAAGGTTAAAAACATTCAGATTATTAACAACTTCATGATGCATTATAAATGTTTGCATTGTTTAACTTGGTAACTTGCATCACACATCATGAAAGCAGGCTTTGTTCCTTGGAATTCTACTTTTTGGCACACTTGAGAATGGTCCCCAGAAAGCGTAGTGGAAGTACATCATTAGATGTACTCACTATATGCTCAGGGAATTTGGATCCTGAAGCAGGGCCGGTGCGAGGAATTTTGGCTACACAGGCAAAAGTGCATTTTGCCGTCACCCTAACCCCCTCCCCACCCCCCGCCCACTCTTCACCTGAATCTCGTAACTTCCCTTTTGAATTTCTTACCCCTTCAGTGTATTTTACCCCTGTGTTAGTGTGTCTTACACCTCTCTGTGTGTCTCTTACTTCTCCCAGTCCCTTTGTGTGTCTCTTACTTCTCCCCAGCCCATTTGTGTGTCACTTTCCTTACCACAGTCCTTTTCTGTGGCTTTATCCCTTCAGCCTTTTTTTGTGTGTGTCTGTGTCCACCAGGGACCTTTGTGTGTCTTTTTCCTCCCAAGCCATATAGACATAGATGTATAGAAACACACCACCATACAGGCACACAGAGATAATTATTCAGGCACACAGTCATAGAGATATGCAGCCACATAATCAAACAAACAAAGTCATACAGGCACAGACATACAAGCACACAGTCATACTATCTACACATACAGGTCAGGTAAAAAGTCATACAAGCATACACAGAGACATGCAGATACTTCATACAGAAACATAAAAACGTAGGCATACAGAGACATACGGAGAACGTAATACGGAGACATACAGGCATGCAGAGACACATACACAGACATAAAGTCACATAGAGATATACAGAACAAGGCATACAGAGACATACGGATAAAGTCATACAGATAAACACAGACAAAGGCAATCAAAGACATACATATACAGTCATACACAAACATGGAGTCATATATAGACATTCAGACACAGGCGTACAGAGCAGCGGCAGATCCAGAACCTAACCTTAGGAGGGGCACCGGTAATGGGTTGTGGTAGGGTGATTGGGGCTGTAATTGAGTTAGGGGCTGTAGTAGGGAGCTAGGTGCTGTAGTGGGTGGATAGAGGCTGTAGTGGAAGGGATATGTAGTAGGGAAGTCAGGAGATATAGAGGGGTACACAGCATGTGTGGTGGAAGTACAAGGGCTGTGGTGGGGGGGCACACGGTTTGTGGTGGGGGGGCAATGAGGCTGTGGTGGTAAGCAAAGGGCTGTGGTGGAAGGCAATGGGGCTGTAGAAGGGGGCACATGAACACTAGAGGGAGGCACGGGAACACGGCAGGGGCTTTAGAGAAGGGGGACAGGCTATAGAGAAGGGACAGGGGCTGTAGAGAGAGGTCAGGGGCTAAAGGGGGTATATTGGGGTGCACAGGGGCAGATGGTGGTGCACAGGTGGAGTAGAGGGGGGCACAGGGGCTATAGAGGGGGGACCAGAGCTGTAGAGGGGGCACAGGGACAGTGGAAGCTCAGGGACTTGCAGTGTCCTGTGGTAATCTGCTGCAGCACTCCGATTATCCCGAGCTAGGAAGACAGCTACTTATGGTCAGCAGCCTACAGAAGTGCAGGCCAGAAGTGACAGACTGCCTCCCCTACATTACAGAGGAGCAGACTAAGCATGTCACATCAAACTGTGAATAGGTTTGCTTTGGAACTCTGGATTATACTTCTTTACCTTGACCTCTTTGGAATAAAAATTTGTAGTAATGCACTACTTCTCCATTTATCACAGAGCTCCACGACAATAAAACTCCCAGTAATGTGGAGCTCTGTGACAAGATCATGCACTATACAACAATACAACTCTAAGTAATGTGTCTATTAGTGTATCACTGAGCTCCCTAACTATAAAATACACAGAGTGATGTGCATTTTATATACCAGAGCTCCACGGTAATACATCTCCCTATAATATGATGTAATGTTTGTGTTGTCTGTGTACGTGACAGGTGTGATGACTGTGTGTGATATGTATGCTATGTGTGATATTTGTAATGGGTGTATTAACTGTGTGTGATATGTATGCAATGTGTTGGCTGTCTGTGATATTTGTAATGGGTGTATTAATTGGGTATGCGTGTATTGGTTGTATGTGATATTTGCTGGGTTTATTGGCTGTGTGTGATGGGTATTTAATTCAGAAAAAAAATGCACTTAGGACTATGTGTGAATGCAGGTGTATATTTTTGCAGAGTAAATAAGAAGAAGAGACAGCGCTGGTTAACCAACAGGCAGCAACCCTTAAAAAGGGAATCCCTCCAATCCCTTTAAAACAAGACAAATAAAAACAAAGATAAAAAAGGGCCGCGCCACAATAAATAGTAAGTAAATAAGCAATGTCCAATTCCAATAAAGGAAGCAAATATAAAAGTAAGTCCAACTTAAGTGTTCTCACGGTTCGTCTTAAAGTGATGAGTACAATGGCAAGGTCCTCAGATGTTGTTATGGTTCCACTTATATAGAAGATAAAAGAGAGGGACAACCAATAGTGCAATATGTACAGCTCAAATAGGAACGCAAATGAAAATAATGGTAGAGAACTCACATTTATAAGAGCTTATATCCAGCTCTAGGGTAAAGCGCGTACAGCAGTAGAATCCCCGCTTATGGGATATGTAGTGAGTACCTCTCCGTCACTGGGGTCCAATTCTCAGAAAAGAGACGATAAAAGAGACAACGAATAGTGCTCTCTGTTTAACGATCTTAATGCAAATTAATTAAAATCGTACTTACAAATGGAGAGCAGACCGACTGCTCTTTGGAATCAGCATTGGTGAATTAATCCCCACCTAGGATTTCTTGGGGTGCAGGAGACTTCCAAGGGTTGTAAAACCAGAATGCTAAATGTGGCAAAACTAGCCACTTATGACTGTATTTGCATAAATGTGTTTCTATAGCTTTAAGGTTGTTAGAACCAAGTGTATTCAGGTATCTGTATTTCATGCAAACAAGAGCATTCGTATGCTGGCGGCATGAAAGCCACCAGCATTCATACAGTAGTTTCACGAACAGTGAATTTCAACACTGTTCGTGAAATGAATAAACTACCGAATGGGAAACCACACACAGGAGGTCGTGTGGCGCTCATTAACCGATTGCAACATTGTTGCAATCGGTAGTTAATTGCTTTCCTAGGTGGCCGTAGTTCGGCTACCGACCACGCGGCGGTCGGCCATCTTGGATCCTTTGTTAGCCCAGCGGTATTTAGTCGTCGAGCGCCTGGAACTAAAATCGGCTACTCGGCGGCACGAATACCGCTGGACTTCCAGGCCGTTCGGGAGCCCCGGTCATTCAGTAGTTTATTCCCCTACAGTCAATTGGTCTTTTAAATGCAACTAGAAAATAATGTGTATTTCGTGTGGCGTTCGGTTAGTTA